AAGGAGGAATGGTTGTTCTTTCAAGCTCTTGTTGTAGGTTGTCTATTCCTCTTGAAGATCCAAATCGCTTCTACTTTGACGTAGGATAATTGGTACCTACAGATGAATGAGACCTGGACCCAACCCCTGAGGAGCACCCACCTGGACACCAACTGGGAGGCAGGTCCTACAGAAACTGACAGAGACATCGAGGAATTTGTCATAGACTTTATTAAACTTCTTTTCCTTTCCCCTTACAGATCCCCAAACCATCGCCCTACTGCAGCAGGATTTTTCGGTTTTGCCTGTATGTAATAGCCCTGGTCAGAGAGAAAAAGCCTGGAGGTTACAAAGAGAACTTCAGGTCCCTCCTGGTCAACCATACTCCCTCTCTCCCCCAAAACACACTTCCCTCCAATCATCAGCCTTATTTGGTTCAGCCTGTGACATCAGGGGTATCTGGGCAGATTTCCAGGGTTCTCAGCCAGTCAGTGTTGGTACATGAATGAGGAGGAGAGAAAATTTAGGACTGGGAGTGAGGGTAAAATGTGGAAATAGAGGGAAAGACTGGAGGAGACTTTGGGGAGACATAGACACAGGGCAAGAGGCTCGAGGAGGAAAGACAGAGGAGACGGAAATGAAGAAGAGAGAAAGATGTGGTGAATTGAATTGTGTCCCCCCTCCCCATGATATATCCAAGTCCTAATCCCCAGGACCTACGAATGTTCCCTTGTTTGAAAATAGGGTCTTTGCAGATGTAATTAAGTTAAGGCAAGATGAGATCATCTGGGAGTTAGGCTGGACCCTACATTCAAAGATTGGTATGTCCTCATAGGAGAAGGAAGAGAATGATCAGAGACACAGACGCAGAGGAATATGCAATTTCGAGTTGGGAGGACAGAGATTGGAGGGAGACCATGAGCCAAGGAATGGCAAGGATGCCAGAGATCGAGGAGTGAGACAGAAATGAAGACCTAGGGATGCCTGGGTGGCTCAGTGGTTGAGCATCTGTCTTCAGCTCAGGGTGTGATCCTGGTGTCCTGGGATTTGAGTCCTGCATTGGGCTCCCCACAGGGAGCCTGCTTCTCCTTCTGCCTATGTCTCTGCCTCTCTCTGTGTGTCTCTCATGAATAAATAAATAAAATCTTTTTTTAAAAACAGGTAAAGGGGCAAAGGGAAGAGAAGAGGGGCTGGAAGGGGTGACAGGTAGGTGGTGGGGGGAAGAGTCCTTCAGAAGGGCAGAGAAGAGGGTGAGGGCCACTTCTGCCCTCAGCACCATAGGCTCAGTGCTGGGGCCCTTGGAAATGTTTTCATTTTAATCACTTTGAAAAGCAGAAGAAAATAAATTAATATAATAACGATGATGGTGAAGAAAAATATATAATAATGATGGTGAACAAAAATATGTAATAATGAATTCAGCTTGGATGACATCTTTTTTCATACTTGCACATACATGAAATACAATTTTTAAAAAATATATATAAATATTTTCTAGAGAACTAGAGAGGTGAAAGTGCTGAGGACCCAGGAAAGGCATAATGTGGTCCAGAGGTGGGAAGAAGAGGAGGTGAAAGAGAAGGAAAGATGAACAGAGACAGAGATGGGGGCGGGGAAAGGAAGAGATGTAGAGAAGGAAGGAGAAACAGAGACATAAAATGAGTGGGGAGGAGATTCCCAAAGGACACAGTGACTGATCCAGGGCAGGGACATTTTTGAGGGGCCCAATGGGTAGGCCCCAGGAAAGGGCAGGGATGACTCACGAAGCCACGATGACCCCGAAGGCAATAATAGCCAGAAACACGGAAATTATGACACCAGACTCGGGCTGATTCTGCAGGTACGCACTGTCCTCGTACTGCAGGGCCATGCGGGGCTGCCTGTCAACTGGTGGTGGTGGGGGAGACAACCCTGATTTCCAAGTCACCACCCTTCTGTGGCCTTGTACCCCACACCCACCTGCTCACCCAGCAAGTTCAGCCTCTCCCTCCTCCATACACCTGACTCTTGCCCTCTCCTGGGTTTTCACTGCATTCACCCACTCCTCAAAGTCTGTGTCCCAGCCACTGTTTTTAGGTGCTCTGTATACCTCCGTGAGCCCCCCCTAGCAAACATCTCTGCCCTTGCGACCCAGACACATCACAGTGATGGCAAAGAGCCCAGTGCTAAATGTGTCTCATTGGATAGGTGGTGGGTGGTGGGAGGAGGACATGGGGAGTTTGACTACCCATGAACATGAGCATTCTGACAATCTTGAGACAAGACATAAGTCTTAGCTTGGGGACCCTGGAGATCCTTGGGATTCCCATTCTGCATCTTCCAATCATCCTGTTCCCCCACCCCCAATTCTTTCATTCTGTTAGCAGAGCCTCTTGGCTGCCCCTTCAGAATGTATCCAGAGTCTGATCCGCTTTCTGGGCTACTGACCTGGTCCAGCTATCCAAGCTCCACGCGGAGGGTCTCTGCTTCTCCTCATCCTACAGTTAGTTCCCCGTATGGCGGCCAGAGGGCGCCTGTTAACACCTAAGCCCTCTGGAGGGCCTCCTCCTGCAGAACCTTTCCCTAAGCTCACCTTGGATAGGATAAAAGCCTAAATCTTTACCATGGCTCACCAGGCCCTGCACAATCTGGTCACCATGTGATTAGCTAGCTACTACACCCTTCTTCATTCGTTTGACTCTGTAGCCTCCGTCTTGTTGCTCAACCATGTTGGATCCTTGTACCTGCTGTTCCCTCTGTCATTCACACTATTCCTTACTCCCTCACTTCCTCTAGATCTCATACAGCACTTTAGAGAGGTCCCACCACCTGCACTCTCTAAAGTAGCACCACCGCTCCCTTTCCCCTAGGCACTTTCTATCAAACTTTTCTGTTTTCCTTATGGCACACTTGTTATCTGGAATCGATCCATATATTCATGTAATTGTCAAAGCATGGTTCTCAGCTGGGGACAATTTTGGACATTTGGAAAGGTCTGGAGACTAGAAAGGATTGTCATGACTTTGGTGGGGGGAGAACTACTGGCATGTAGTAGGGTAGAGGCTGGGGTGTCCTGCAACACCTGGGACAGCCCTTATAACAAAGAGTATCCAGTCCCAATTGTTAGTAGTGCCAAGGTTGAGAAACCCTAGTTTTTAACCCTTCGCCCCATTAAAATGGGGGCAAGATGAGGGGTGCCTGGGTGGCTCAGTTGGTTGAGTGTCCAACTCTTGATTTTGGCTCAGGTCATGATTTCAGGGTTGTGAGACTGAGCTCTGCATTGGGCTCCGCCCTTAGTGGGGAGTCTGTTCGAGATTCTCTCTCTCTTCCTCTCCCTCTGTTCCTTCCCCCTCTCTAAAATAAAATCTTCAAAAAAATATATGAGCGATGTGAGACATTTGTCTTCCATTCTGCTGATCTTCAGTTTGGGGGCACAATGGGGTACTCGAAATATCTGTTGTAGTAATCACCATACTAAAGGATCAAATGAATGAGTCCCTTCTTTTTATTTTTTATTTTTTTATTAAAGATTTATTTATTTATGATAGAGAGAGAGAGAGAGAGAGAGAGAGACAGAGGCAGAGACACAGGCAGAGGGAGAAGCAGGCTCCGAGCCCGACGCAGAACTCGATCCCGGGACTCCAGGATCGCGCCCTGGGCCAAAGGCAGGTGCGAAACCGTGGAGCCACCCAGGGATCCCCAGTCCCTTCTTTTTAAAAATATTTTATTTATTCATGAAAGACACAGCGAGAGGGGCAAAGACACAGGCAGAGGGAAGAGCAGCCCCCCTGCGGGGAGCCCTATGCAGGACTCAATCCCAAGACCCCAGATTTATGACCAGCCAAAGGTAGACGCTCAACCACTGAGCCACCCACGTGCCCCGAATCCTTTCTTTTCAACTAGTCAATGTCATAGAGGGGAAAACTGATAAGAGAAATTTTTTCTAGAGTAAAAAAAGAAATGACAAAAAAGAAACCCTACAATTGAATTGTATGAGAAGTCCTTTCAGTGGGTCCTGGTTTGAACGAATCAACTGTGAAAGATATTCTGGGGACAGTCAGGGAAGTTGCAAAAGGATTCAGAATTACCTGATATTGAAGAATTGTTGCTAGGCTTTTTGGGTGTGAGAATGGCATTGTGGTTACACAGGAAATGTCCTTATTTTTAGAGCCACACACTATTTATGGGTGAAATTTCACAATGCTCGATTTCTTTTAAAATATCATGGCAATGGGGCACCTGTATGGCTCAGTTGGCAGAGCCTATGACTCTTGATTTTGAGGTTGTGAGTTTGGGTATACAGATTACTTCAAAAAAAAATACTATGACTACAAACAAAGCAAGTGTGGAGAAATGTCCATTGTCAACATAATTTGATAGAAAGTGCTACTTTATAGAGAGTGTGATCAGAGAGTCCTCTTTGAGGAGATGAGCTTGGAGACTTTATTGAAATGAGAGGGTGAGAGGAACAGTGTGATAGAGAGGGAAAAGCTTGTGTAAAGGCCCAGCATGACTATTCAGTCTTGATGGATTCATTGTACTTCATGGGGTTCATTGTACTAGTCTCACTGCTATAAGGATATACATTTCAAAAATCTTTGGGGGTGCCTGGCTGCCTGGGTCAGTGGAACATGCAACTCGATCTTGGGGTTGTAGGTTTGAGCCCCACTTTGGGTGTAGAGATAATTTAAAAAATTTTTTAAAAACTTAAAGAAAATCTCTGAATAAATGAGTGAGTGAATGAGTGAATTCAGCCTATCCTTCTGGACTTCCCAGGTATGGTACTGGTGAAAAATAAAACACTTTTCTAGCAGCTGCCTTTCTGGAATTAGAGGCATTATAAAATTATAGAGGAGTCCTCCCATGGAACAATGAGGGGAAAGCGAATGTCAGGATGTGGATGTGACATCTGGGCCACACTATAAGCAAGTGGTAAGTGCAGGATTCAAGGTTATATGTGGGAAAACTCAAAACCCATATCTGCTGGGTCACAGCTCTCTTCTCTCATGCATCTCTGTCTTCCCCCACCCCCAGGAGCTTACCAAAACAGTACTTTCTTGGGATACACCTGGGACTGATCTTCTGGCAGTATAAACAGTCTAAGACTTTTTCTTTTAGCAAATCTGGAAAGGAGGGAAGGGAGGGATGAGGGCAGTTATCAGAAGACTGGCAAGGGGCAGGAAGGCAGTGGGGAAAGAAATGGGAGTCCCTTGGCTCTCCTGAACTTGGAGGTCCCATGTGTAGAACAAGCTGAGCAGAATGCACCAATTCACATTAAAAATAATTTCTAGGGGGGATCCCTGGGTGGCTCAGCGGTTTAGCTCCTGCCTTCTGCCCCAGGCGTGATCCTGGAGTCCCAGGTTGAGTCCCGGATCAAGTCCCACATCGGGCTCTCTGCTTGGGGCCTGCTTCTCCCTCTGCCTGTGTCTCTGCCTCTCTCTGGGTCTCTCATGAATGAATAATTAAAAACAAATCTTTTTTTTTTAATTTTTTTATTTATTTATGATAGTCACAGAGAGAGAGAGAGAGAGGCAGAGACACAGGCAGAGGGAGAAGCAGGCCCCATGCACCGGGAGCACGACGTGGGATTCGATCCCGGGTCTCCAGGATCGCGCCCTGGGCCAAAGGCAGGCGCTAAACCTCTGCGCCACCCAGGGATCCCTTAAAAACAAATCTTAAAAAAAATTTCTAGGGACACCTGGCTGGCTTAGTCAGTGGAGCGTGTGGCTCTTGATCTCAGGATTGTACATTTGAGCCCCACCTTGGGTGTAGATATTACTTAAAAATAAAATAAAAATAATGTTTAACCATTGAAGAGTTGAATTGAGTTGCAGTCATCCAGTCGACCAACATTTGTTTGTAGACATTTAATTTAACAAATGTTTGATTAAAGGTCTACAAACAGAATGTTTGCTTTTCTACATTCCTGTTTTGCAGTGCCCTGTGACATACACTGGCTAGTTGCTCGCTCATCAGCCTCCTCCTCTTCCTGCCACACAAGAGACTACATTTCCCAGGCTCCTTTGCAGTAAGTTGCAACTATGTGACCAGAGTTCTGGCTAATGGAAAGTGGGCAGAGGGTATGGCCAATTCCTGGCCAGGGCATAAAGTCCCTGTAGGAGTTTTTCTGTATTTTCTGGCCCTTCTGAAGCTAGGTTAGAACCCACAACAGAGGGGCACCTGGGTGGCTCAGTGGTTGAGCATCTGCCTTTGGCTCAGATCATGATTCCAGGGTTCTGGGATTGAGTCCCACATCAGGCTCCCCACAGGGAATCTGCTTCTCCCTCTGTGTCTCTGCCTCTGTGTGTGTGTCTCTCATGAATAATAAATAAATAAATAAAATCCTTAAAAACACACACACACAACAGAGGTGCAGTCTATATCCATGGGCTACCATTTGGAAGAAAAATTCAACCCTCAAAGGAATTTGGGTAAAAGCCAAAGAAATCTTTCTTTTGTTAAACCACTGAGATGTGGGGCTTCTTTGTTACTATAACATAGCCTATCCCATCCTGACTAACAACCCCCCCCCCAAATACTTTTTTGCAGGTTGAAATCACTTCCATTAAGCCCTCAAAAATCAGATATCCCTAGATACTACAGCTTTGGAGAGGAGGAACTGCCAGATGTTGTAGATGGTAGCGGGGATTGATTTGGGGGAGACAGGGTAAGGAGGTGCAGGAGTGTAGGAAAAGGAGGCACAGACAATAAATCCAGGACTCACGGCAAATTTTGCGATCACAGGCTGCAAGAGAAAAGAGCTGAAGTGAGTTAAGTCAGGATGGCAATTTGAGAATTGAATGGGAAGGGACTAAGGGAGGGAGAAGTGAGTCTGGAAATGAGAGCTGGGACTATTGGGGAGAGGCAAGAAGGCTGGGTCACAGGGGAGGTGAGCAAGGAGTTTGGGAGAGAAAGTGGGAGAAGGGGATGGAGATGATGGGGGAGGGGAGAGGCAGCTTGGTGGAGAGAGATGCTACACCTTTCAGTTCATATGATTTTAAAGCTTTCTTGAGTTCCTTGATCACTCTCTCCCTGAGAACTATCAGCTCTTCCAGCAGAGGCCCATCTGAGGAGAGACAGAGAGATAGAGATATCCTTGTGGGGTGGAAGGCGCCCACCAAGCCCACCCCATCTGTAGCTTTGAAGAGATGAGGAAATCCCTTTTCATTCACCAGGAGTAACCAAGAGCGGATATTCCTCAGGTCCACTGGACAAATCTGTGGCCTGGGAGGTCCTGCATCTAGCTTCTGATCCACTATGGGGCCCCAGGACAAATGACCTTCCACTGGCTTCAGTTTTCTAATCTGGAAAGTAGTAGGATGGACTTGATTACCTCTCCTTTCTTTCCCTCTGACCTGCTCTCCTCTCTTCTCTGTCTACACTCACTCCTTCACCCAGCTGATTTCATCCAGCTTCATGGCTTTATATATTCATGTAGACCTGCACTGTCCAATACGGCAGCCACTAGCCACACATGGCTATTGAGTATTAGAAATGGGCTAGTCTGAACTGAGATATGCTGTCAGTATAAAATGTATGCTGGTGTTTGAAGACATGCTATGAATAAAATAACTTAAAAAACCCTCAAGAATTTTTATGTTGCTGGCATGTCGAAATGGTCATTTAGTTAGGTATGGGGCTAAATAAAATATATTAAAGTTAATTTCACCTGCTTCTGTTTATCTTTTTGAACACGTGGCCACTAGAGAATTTAAAATTACATGTGACTCCTTGTGCCTCACAGCATATTTCCACTGGAAAGCACTGTTCTGTGTGTGCCGATTCCTCCCATGTTTATGTCCCCAGCCTCTACCGCTCACTGTGGTCCAGAAGCATAGAGCCAGATGCCCACTTAGGATCTCCACTTGGATGTCTGATGGGCATCTTACTCTCAGTAAGTCCAAAACTGAACCTTGACGGGCTCCTCCAAACCTACTCCGAAACTCCTGAGCCTTCTCCACCTTAGGAGATGAGAGGTGCCCGATTCTAAGCTGCTCAGCACAGTCCTTGGCGCTTTGACTCCTTTTCTCAGATCTCGCAAGCAGTATATCAATATGCATGTTATGTGAACGACACCGGTTTGTTCAATATCCAAAATAGTTCCAGGAATGTGATCACTTCTCATTTTCTCCCCTGCTACCACCCTGGTTCCAGCCATGATCATCTCCTGCCTGGGCCACGGTGGCAGTTTCTCGCTGACCTGCCAGGATCCCCCCTGCCCTGGCCGGATCTCTTCTCCATGGCTAGAGGGATCCTCTTAGAACCACAGCAGGTTCACCTGTGTCCCCCTTCTGCTCGGAGCCCTCCCACATGACCGAGAATAGAAGTCAAAAGTCCTCAACATGGCCTGGAAGGCTCTACTCCATCTACCCATCCTCGCCGCCTTACCTCTAGGACCTCATCTTCCACATCTCTCCCTCTCTCCACTCCAGCCTCCCTGACTTCCTTGAGGTTCTGTGAATATGCCAAACATAGGCCTATCTCAGGGATTTGCACCTGTTCTTTCTGCCTGCAGCCTTCTACCCCAGCCACCTCCTGGGGCTTCTCCCTCTCCTTCAGATCTGCTCACATGCTGACCTCTCAGTGACGTCCCTCTTGGCCACCTGACTTTATATTATACCCCCCACCCCTACTCCTAGTACTCTCTATCCCCTGGCCCCTGCGTTATTTTCTCCATAGTATTTGTTCTCATCTATATTGTGCAGTAAAGGGTTAACTCAGCAGGTCTGGGTTGTCCAAACTCTGCACATTCTGAAAAAATGTTTGGCTCCTCTAAGTCCTTGGAATATCCTGCCTGGGAAGAGTGTCTTTCTGGAGGCACCTGGCTGGTTGGTTGGTAGAGTATGTGACTCAGTCTTGGGCTTGTGAGTTTGAGCCCCATGTTGGGGATGGAGCCTACTTATAAAAAATTTTAATGTATTTCTTTTTTTTTTATTTTTTTTTAATTTTTATTTATTTATGATAGTCACAGAGAGAGAGAGAGAGAGAGAGAGAGAGAGAGAGAGGCGCAGAGACATAGGCAGAGGGAGTAGCAGGCTCCATGCACCGGGAGCCCGACGTGGGATTCGATCCTGGGTCTCCAGGATCGTGCCCCGGGCCAAAGGCAGGCGCCAAACCGCTGCGCCACCCAGGGATCCCATTATAAAAAATTTTAAAAAGAAAAAAGAGTTTCTTTTTTTTTAAGATTTATTTATTTATGATAGACATAGAGAGAGAGAGAGAGAGAGAGAGAGAGAGAGAGAGAGAGAGAGAGAGGCAGAGACAGGCAGAGGGAGAAGCAGGCTCCATGCTGGGAGCCCGTCATAGGACTCGATCCTGGGACCCCAGGATCACGCCCTGGGCCAAAGGCAGGCGTGAAACCACTGAGCCACCCAGAGATCCCCAAGAAAAAGAGTTTCATTCTTTATTGGAGCCTAGGACCATGTTAGCTAGTCTATGCTATAGTGTGATTCATGGTGGGGATTTGGGCCACATGGTAGCAGCTTGATCTCTGTAGAGGCTGGAGACCAAAACTAATCAGCCATTTGGGTTCTCTGTGCCTTCATGACCAATCCCCAAATGATGTAATAATAGTAAGTAAAATCATTGGCCTGGGATCTTCAAAAATGTCAGTGTAGGGATGCCTGGGTGGCTCAGTGGTTGAGCATCTGCCTTCAGTTCAGGGCATGATCCTGGGGTCCTGGGATCGAGTCCCACATCAGGCTTCCTGTGGGAGCCTTCTCCTGTCTCTGCCTGTGTCTGAATTATGTTATGAATAAGCATAATCTTTTAAAAAGATAACAGTGTCATAAAAGACAAACGAATGAAATGCATAGACCCAGAGCAGATCAAGGATTGGAAGAAGAATAGTGATGAAAGCCATGATTGTGTCAATTGGAGGAATTTGAGGACTGGATATCAGATAGTATGGAGTTCGCATTAAATTTCCTAGTTCCACTCACTCATTGTGCAAGAAAATACCCTTCATTGCTCTTAGGAGATCCCCCATTGAAGGAGTTAGGGTTGCAATGTCACTAACTCTTAAAGGGTACTCACACACAAACACACACACAGAACAAACCAGGCAATATACTGTGTGAACAAATGGTGAATAGGTGTTCACTGTACTATTCTTGCAACTTTTATAACCATTTGAATTTCAAAATATAAAAATCACCTTTTTAAAGGGTGAGAGCTTTATTTTTTTTTTAAAGATTTATTTCTTTATTCATGAGAGACAGAGAGAGAGAGGCAGAGACAGGAGAAGCAGGCTCCATGCAGGGAGCCTGACATGGGAATCGATCCTGGGACTCCAGGATCTTCTGCCCTGAGCAGAAGGCAGATGCTCAACCACTGAGCCACCCAGGCATCCCTAAAAGGTGAGAGCTTTAAAAATAACTGATGTTCAGGCCCAACCCATGATATTCTGATTTACTTGGCTACTGCTTGGGCTTCTGGAATATTTTAAAAGTTCTCTGGGAGATTCGAATGTGTAGCCTGAGTTGAGACCTAATGCTTTAAATCTTGTCTGTTAAGGTTCAGATAGTAAATATCTTCAGCTTTGAGGGCTAGATGGTCATTGTCCCAACAATTCATTTCTGCCTGGGAGAGCAAAAGTGCCTGTAGACAATATGTAAATGATTATCCTTCTGGGATCCCTGGGTGGCTCAGCGGTTTAGCGCCTGCCTTCGGCCCAGGGTGTGATCTTGGAGTCCTGGGATCAAGTCCTGGGATTAGGTCCCAGGATCGAGTCCCATGTTGGGCTCCCTGCATGGAGCCTGCTTCTCCCTCTGCCTGTGTCTCTGCCTCTCTCTCTCTCTCTCTTTCTGTGTCTCTCATGAATAAATAAATAAAACCTTTAAAAAATGATTATTGTTCTACTAAAACTTTTTTACAGAAACAGGGGGCTGGCAAAAGGATTTGGCCTCAGCTGTATTTTGTCAACCTCTGCTCTGGACATAGAGACCAGATGCAGCACAATAATCTTAATAGCTAGGGGCACCTGGTGGCTCAGTGGTTGAGCATATGCCTTTGGCTTAGGGTGTGATCCCGGGGTCCTGGGATCGAGTCCCACATTAGGTTCCCCACAGGGAGGCTGCTTCTCCCTCTGCCTATGTCTCTGCCTGTTTCTCAGTGTCTCTCATGAATAAATAAATAAATAAATAAATAAATAAATAAATAAAATCTTTAAGAAAATAATCTTAATAGCTACCATTTATTGGGCACTTACTGTTTGCCTGGCTTTGTTCTAAATGCACATGCACAAATTAATTTCCACTTCCCAGTCACCATGAGATGAGTGCTATTTTTCTTGTTTTACAGATGAGGACTCTGAGATATCCATAGAGCCCTCTACTGCCCTCTGCTGGGGAATGTCATAAAGCCCTCAAATGACTAACCCCTCCCCCTGGGGCCACTGGGTATAAAACCAGAAGAGACAGCCCAGGGGCGGTGGTTGGGAATATAATGTCTGAGTTAGGGACACCTGGGTGGCTCAGGGGTTAAGCGTCTGCCTTTGACTCAGGTCGTGATTCCAGGGTCCTGGGATCGAGTCCCACATCGGCCTCCCTGCAGGGAGCCTGCTTCTCCCTCTGCCTACGTCTCTGCCTCTCTCTCATGAATAAATAAAGAAAATCTTAAAAAAAAAAAAATGTCTGAGCTGCGTACTTTGGACTAGTCACCTAACTTCTCTGAGCCTCGGTCTCCTGTCTGTAAAGGGCAGATCACAGCAGTGCCTGGCATCAGGAACTGTCCTAGGCTTTTCTGAGTAAAACCCTTAGGACCCTGCCAGACACACAACTAAAAAGGCTATATGCATGCTTTGTTTTAATATCAAGGGGAGGCAGGGTGGACTCCTGGAAAGGGAGGACGAAGAAGGGTGCTGGGAAAAGCTTTCCCTCTTAGTTCCTACCTCTTAGAGAATTAACCATTAAGTGGTTTGTTTGGTTCTTGATAAAGGATGCCACAAAGTCCAGATGATCTATCCCTGGGGGTAAGAGGGGAGGAAATTCCAGTGGGTGAAGAGAGCCAGGGGATGCCCCCCATCTTCCTCCGGGGGGTCCCACCCACCCCTCTCGGGGACAGATGTCCCCAAAGCATGTCTCTCACCCCAGCCTCGGGCTACTCCCCGTGCCCCCCCCCCCGCAGTGCCAGGCACCCTCCCCTCTCCAGCACGCACCCACTTTCCCCACAAACGCGTTCAGAGCGTAGTCCCGGAAGAAAGGCCCCTCCATGCTCAGCAGCAGGGCCTGGGCGCGAACCTGCAGCGAATCCAGATGGAAGCGTTTGGGGATGAGGGCTGATCGCAGCTGACTCAGAGCCTCCAGCACCGAGTGGTCACACTGCAGGCAGCCCCGGCCTCTGTGGGCACTCAGGCCCAGCAGCAGCAGGAGGGCCAAGGCCAGAGGCATGGCAGGGCCTTTGTGACCTCACAGAGAGAAGCTGGCCGGCCCCACCCCCCACCTCCCCAAGGGCGGAGTCAGGGATGTGGTTGTGGGGGGAGGGGCACGTGTGCAAAGGCACATGTTTGCTGAGCACCTGCTATGTGCCAGGCATGATTCTAAAAGCCAGGAGGAGAGTCCAGAAAAACAGGTCTCCAGGCACCTGGGTGGCACAGCGGTTGAGCATCTGCCTTTGGCTCAGGTCCTGATCCTGGGGTCCTGGGATCCTGGGATTGAGTCCCACATGAGCTCCTGCGAGAAGCATGTTTTTCTCTCTGCCTATGTCTCTGCTTCTCTCTGTCTCTCATGAATAAATAAATAAAATCTTTTTTAAAACCCCAAAAAACAGAAGTCTCTGCCTTGTCCCCCTGGATCTTACATTCATTCAGTCAACACATATTTATTGAGCACCTACTTAGGGCCAGGTGCTGTTCCAGGAGCTAGGGCTAGAGGGCTAGAAAAACAAGCAGCCAGTGCTCTTTCAGGACTTACATTCATGAATTCAACAAATAATTTCCGAGTACCTACTATGTGCCAGGCCCTGTTCTAAGCACCCCATATAGAGCTGAGAGAAACAGTCTCTGCTCCCACAGAATTTACATTCATTTGTTCAAGAAGTAGCAGTGGGTCCGTCTAGCAAGGGTGGAAGGAAGTGTGTCTGTGAGAAATGTAAAACCCAGTAAACAGGCTAGTAAATAAGAATGATAACCTGTAGTAAGCCCTGGGGAGAAAATAATTGATTTGGGGGACACCTGGGTAGCTCAGTGGTTGAGTGTCCATGCCTTTGGCTCAGGTTGTGATCCTCAGGTCTTGGGATGAGTCCCACATCAGGCGGTCTCTTCCCCCCTCTCTCTCTGTGTCTTTCAGGAATAAATAAAATATTTAAAAAATAAGCAATTTGAGATGCTAGAGTTCCTTGGGGGGCTAGTCCCCCAGTGTCAGTGGTTTTTTTGTTGGGTTCCCTGCTCTAGTCCAATTCCTGGCATCTATTAGGTGCTCCTTAGATACTTATTGAATTCCATGAATCCACAGGGGAATTGCTTTTTCCTAGGATATTTTTATTTTGAAAATCCTCAAAGCTGGAGAAAAGTTGTGGGAATGGTAAATGTGTGAAGGTGCCATGTTAACACTCTGCATTCATTGTATTTCCCCCTCCATATGTATAAGACATTATATAGAGATTAATTATATGTTAATTTCTACGGGCAGACTGAGTGGCTCAATTGGTTGGTCAGGTGTCTAACTCTTGATCTCAGCCTAGGTCTTTTTTTTTTTAAGATTTTATTTATTTATTCATGAGACACACACGCACACACACAGAGGCAGAGACATAGGCAAAGGGAGAAGCAGGCTCCATGCAGGGAGCCCGATGTGGGACTCAATCCCGGGACTCTGGGATCACTCCCTGAGCCGAAGGCAGACGCTTAACCGCTGAGCCACCCAGGCGTCCCATCTCAGCCTAGGTCTTTTTATTTTTATTTTTATTTATTTATGATAGTCACATCATAGCGAGGGGGGGGGCAGAGACATAGGCAGAGGGAGAAGCAGGCTCCATGCACCGGGAGCCCGACGTGGGATTCGATCCCGAGTCTCCAGGATCGCGCCCTGGGCCAAAGGCAGGCGCCAAACCGCTGCGCCACCCAGGGATCCCTCAGCCTAGGTCTTGATCTCAGGGTCACGAGTTCAAGTCCCACGTTGGGCTCCACACTGGGTGTGGAGCCTGCTTAAAAAAAAAAGTTAATTTCTATTAAAAATGGGCAAAGGGCTTGAACAGGCATTTCTCCAAAGAAGATATAAGAATGGCCAATAAGTGCATGAAAAGATGCATAACGTCACTTAGCAACAGGGAAATGCAAATCAAAACCATAAGGAGATACCACCCGACACTCGTTAGCATTGGCTACTTATCAGAAAAATGGAAAAGAAGAAGTGTTGGCGAGGATGTGGAGAAATTGGAACCCTTGTGCACTGTTTGTGGGGATATAGATGGGGACAGTCACTATGGAAAATAGGATGGAGCTTCCTCACATGATGGAGAAATCCTTCTGGGTGTAAACCCCAAAGAACTGAAAGCAGAACTCAGAGACGTTCATACATTCATGTTCACAGCAGCATTATCAGCAAAATCCATAAGGTGGAAGCACTTGGGACACTCTAAGCACTTGGGAAGCATCCAAGTGTCATCGACTAATGAATGGATAAACAGAATGTGGGATATGCTTACAATGGGATACTATTTGGCCTCAAAAAGGAAGGAAATTCTGACACATGCTACAACATGGATGAGACTTGAGGTCCTTAGGCTAAGTGGAATAAGCCAGTCACCAAAAGATACATATTGTGTGATTCCACTTATTGGAGGCATCTAGAGTATCTAGAGTAGTGAAATTAACACTCAGGACATTTAACATTGGTTTGATCGGTTCAACCCAACTCAGACTTTCCCAAATCCCTCCTAAGTCTTCCACTTCAACGTCACCTCCTTTGGGAAGTTCTCCCAGATTACGGCCTGTAAAGGATATCTTCATCTGTTATTCTCTAGGGATCAGCACACTTTCTGTCAAAGCCAGGTGGCAAGTATTTTAGGCTTCATTGGTCATTGTTCTCTTGCTAATGCTGAATGAAAGCAGCAACAGGCATTATGGAAACAAATGGTGTGGCTGTGTTCCAATAAAACTTTATTTATGGACACTGAAATGTAAATTTCACATAATTTTCATGTTACAAAAATATTCTTCTTTTGACTCTTTTCCAACCATTTAGAAATGTAAAAACGGTAATTAGCTTTGAAGCCATGGTTTGCCACTAACTCATTCTCCTGCTGGTGTCTGTCACAGCAACAATTATAATTGGTAATAATTTTTTAAGATTTTATTTATTTATTTATTTATTTATTTATTTATTTATTTATTTATGAGAGAGAGAGAGAAAGAGAGCAAGCCCACAGGCAGAGGGAGAGGGAGAGAGAAGCCGACTTCCCACTGAGCAGTGAGCCCAACATGGGACTCGATCTCAGGACCCTGGGATCATGATCTGAGTGGAAGGCAGACCCTTAACCTACTAAGCCACCCAGGTGCCCCACAACTGATAATTTTTTTTGTTTTTCTCCCATATCATCGTATAAACCCCTTCAAGCCAGGAACTATGTGTACTTTGTTCACTATTATGTCCTAGTGCCTTGGAAGGAACCAGGTATATGATAGATGTTTAATAAATATTTGTTGAGGGATGCCTGCATGGCTCAGTGGTTAAGTGTCTGCCTCTGGCTCAGGTCGTGGTCCCAGGGTCTTGGGATCGAGTCCCCCATCGGACTTCTTGCGTGGAGCCTGCTTCTCCTCCCACTGTTTATGTCTCTCATGAATGAATGAATGTTGAGTGAAAGAAAAATGAAAAAAGTCAGTTTCCTTTCTGAGCCTCAATTTTCACCTCTGTAAAATGGGAGTAATCATATACCTGCCTCATGCCAAGGGCGAAATGGTGTAAACCAATGTTTGTGCTGTCCAATAATATAAGCCACGGGTTGTTGAGCATTTGAAATGTGGTGTGACTGAGAGACTGAACTTTTGATCTTATTTAATTGTAATTAATTTAAACTTAGATTTTTTTTTTAAAATAGACTCCCAAATCAGTTATTGGAAAGCCATTAATCATGCTTGGAACAACCTGAGTCTGTGAATTTTCTTCTTCACCTGTAAATGTTACAAAATTGAAATAGAGATCAAGCATTTTTAATGCAAATTTAGTGTCCCAATTGACATGTGCTGTCCTGATCTGAGAACATTTCAAAGGCTTAGTACAGAAAAAAGTAAGATGTTTCAGTAATTTTTACATTGGTTGCACATTGAAATAACATTTTGGATATGAGTTAAAGAAAATATAATTAATGTCACCTGACCCTTTTTATTTATTTTTTTTGAGATTTTATTTATTTATTCACGACAGATACACAGAGAGAGGCAGAGACATAGGCAGAGGGACAAGCAGGCTCCCTGCCTGGGGCTCTATCCCAGGACCTGAACCAAAGGCAGCGGCTCAACCACTGAGCCACCCAGGTGTCCCCCCTTTTTACTTTCTTAACATGACTGGCAGAAATTTGGAAATTACATGCAGGGCTCACATTATATTTCAATTGGACATCGCTGGTCTGGCACATAGGTGGTGCCCAATACATATATTTGCATTGGTTAGATGTGATTAAATTAGCCCGGGCTTGACGTGGAGAATCACACAGGGTGTAATGGGCAATTGTACCACAAGGGGGAGCTCACAGCCGAGTGAAAAATCCCTCCTCACTCCCACCTGAGTCTCACCTGTGACTTCCTGTGGCCCCCCACCCCCTCACCCCCCACCTCCCCCACCCCCCCACCCCCGCAACCCAGAATCAGCCACTTATAATCCTAGCTAATGTCATGGAGCCATTTGAGATACGAACTGAGATATGAACTTGCTGGCCTTCCTTATTCCCCCATTACCATGCTCCATGCAGGCAACGAGTCAAGGAACTGTTTGTCCTGAGAAGTTGTCAGAATGGAGTAGAAAACAAGGTAGGAAAACAAAGGCTATAAATTTCTGCAGCTTCCAAGCACCAAAGCCTCAGGTCCAGGTGCAAGGCAGGAAGAATCAGGAAGCAGAACCGGTTTTGTTTCTCTGATGATGCAGCCACATTCAGGTGCAATTTGGTAAAACGTAGTTAAATTGAACATCTCCAGATTTCACAGCCCTGCAATGTCCAGTCCTTTTGGACTGAAGAAGTTCTCACCCTCACCCACCAGGAGCGAAGTGCTTATTTAGCA